AAAAAAAAAAAAAAAGAAAAGAAAAGAAAGAAAAGAAAAGAAAAAAAAAAAGATACTATCTTTGGAAACATTGAGTTGACGTCATCTTCCCTCTCCTCCTCCCTTCGTCTCCCTCTTCCCTCCGTTCGTCCGTGGATGATCTCAGACCCTGGCCTTTCGTCTATGTCCAAGGCCAGGGCTTTCACACCCCTGATGAATGATTGAGAGTGTTCGATTGCAGTCCGAGTCAGGTCAGAGTCAGTCCATGTATCTCAACTTCTCAAGTCTTCCGCTGCATTTGTATTTACTCTGTATTATCTGGTCGGTTCTGGGAATCTGCGCCATACTTATGACTGTGTTTCACGATTATGCAACAAGTCTTCTTCTTCTTCCTCTCGCCACATCATACCCCTGGCAGCTATGGCTGCCGTGGCAGCATAACCCCACAGCTGTCACAACGTGCCCATCTGAACCAGCAACCCCAATGATAGCAGCGCCAGCTCAGCGCCCGCATGGAAGTGCAGCGCTGGAAGCCCTGATGAAGAAGAAGACAACCGATCCAGCACTTCGAAGAAGATGAAGTTCCACATGAGGAGGAACAGCAGATATGGCTGCCAAGTGGAAAATGGCAGCGCCCAGACCCAACAACACATTTCTGTGGGAATCTCTCATGCAGAGCTGCGAAATAGCAGCAGTGCGATCTCCAACTTCGTTTCCCAATCCCAGCTATGGCTGGGCTTCGATGAAGAAGATGACCTCGCCAAAAATAGAGCAGCAGCACTCCAACAACGAACGGGCAGAGTTTCCCCAGCAGTACGAAACAAGAAAAGACCCAAACCAAATTTCCTGCCTGCTACTTCTGCCCTCTGCCTAGACCTACGAGGGACTCCAAAGGCAACAACCCAAGACTCATCTGTATCTACATGGAAACAGGAGGAAAAGGGGACCTAGACCTATGACAAGGCAAAAGGAAACGGCCGAATGACCTAAGACTACCAAACAGAGACTACTTGTGACAGACTCAGGGAACAAGTCCCATAGGGCGCAGCACTCACAAACAGAACACACGAGCTACAGGTCACGGGACCAAGTCCCGCAAAGCTCAAAACAAACTACACAGCCGAACACTTATGGGAAACTGCGATTTATTGCAGACAGATGTCGTGTCATAGGACAGGCGATGGCAGATAGGAAAAAAAACAAAAGAAAATGGACTTGTCAGCCAGCAGCAGCCAACTCCTCTGTGCAATGGCTTGCTGTTTTCTGGTCGCCTGTAGTCTCTCTCTGTCAAGGCTGTACCATAGGTAGGGTAGATTCGTAATTTTGTTTGGCTGAGGGCTAACCGAGAGACCTACCTGTAGTGGAAATTCGTGAGGGACATACCTGCAAATTTGGGAAAATACAGGCCCAGCACTAACTGAATTTCCTACTGCTACCCTAACTGCGAATAGCAGGCCCGGGCTACCCCTAGGACAGACAGGCCCTAAAGGCCTATGCTGATAGACGGTCTTATAG